GGGATGTATCAAGAGTGGATGCTTCCACCAAACCTCCAGCAAATCTAAAGCTAAACAATGCAATTCAAAGGAGTACAAGAATATATTTATGACCCCTTTTTGAGGGGTTTTTATTTGGTTGTTTTATTCTGCTTTTCAATTGCTCTGAGCATGCAACCTAGTAAAATCCAATCTAAAACTTATTAGTACCATGCTAATTCTTCAGGCCCATGCCAGCCTCCAAACTGAAAGATCCAATTCTGCACCTGATGGTATTGCAGACCAAGATAAAGTCCAACATAATGCATCTACATATTTCCCCAGAATTTTTTTTATTTCTCTAAAAGTGAGTAGACAAGAAAAATAAGTATATCAAAAACCATAAACAAGTAACAAAGCAACATGAAATTGACAGAGCAAAATTTTTAAACAGAAATTTAGCTATAACACAACAAATAAGAAGAGAGTACCAGTAATGCTATTTCATTCTTTGGTGATATAAAAAAAAATTATGACAGCCCCTCCCTAGAAAATTCCCACAGCCCATTTTGTTACACTAGCAGAAGAAAACACACAGATACACGCTGCATTCCTAGTGCACACATAGTAACTCAGGGCTACAGGCAGGTCAGCATCTGTTTTTCTAACATACAATATCCTTTTTCTTTTTTCCATAGACAGATGTAGATATAGATCTATATGACTCCCTCCCCCAAAAAGTTAAGTCTTCTTACAGAGTACTCTTCACCTGCAGCAAAATGAAGTTTTAAAAAAAATTCTCAAAGAACCAGAAACATTATTTTAACCTCATAAAGGCTTATAAGGTAGAAGTAATTTAACATCAGCAGATCAATGTTTCAGAGGAACACATCAAGATTTCAAGATGCCTTTTACTTACGTTTCATGTCCATGTTCCGTGTTTTGTAGACAAAATACGTATATATTTGAGTTGTCCGAATGAGAATCTGATCTCCACTATATCGTATTGATCGGTACCACCAGGATCCCTGAGATATTTAAAAAGAACAAAATTATGTCAGCTACGATGAAGCATCGAAACAGCTATGCTGGATCACCTCCTATCTGTTCACAACCTGTTAACTCAGCCCAACTGGTTTTACTTACGTTAAGGTCAACCGAATTTCAGAAAGGAGAAGGAAACAAAAAAATCTTTGCCAACACATTTTAAATGCACACCAATATATTCATCTGAGAAAATCTAATGCTAAAAACTTTTAGATTATCTCTAGCCTATAGAATTCCCCTCAACACATGCACACACACATATACACTGCTTTGTTTATTTCTGGTATTGTTTTGTTGAATCCACTAAACAGTAAATCCACTCGATTTACGACTTTCTATATACATGGTAACTCCTTACTGTACAACAGAGCATTCAAGCCAAACTCAGTTTAGGCAGACCAAGGTCAAACCAAGAGCAAAATAAGAGATTTCTTTCATTGCAAAAAAATAATTTAAGTCACCTAATCAGAAAGTGCTTTTCAGAACAGGAATTTGGATGTGGCCAGTACCCTTGCTGCAAATTTTCAGAATTAAGCCACACAACTTCAGGTTGACAGAAGTTTTCCAAACCTTCAGAAACTCCAATAATTCCCCCATTAGCATTACACCAGTGACTTCAAATTATGGAACTCGCTGTACAGTGATTATACTCTATAATACATTTTAAGAAAAGCGGTGTGCTGGGTTATAGATTGCAGTCTGTTCATTAAACTCTTCCTTGTAAGCAAAGCTCACTAGCATGAGAAAAAAAACCATCCAAGATACATCTCAATCTACTGTAAAGTTTATCACAAGTGAAAAGTAACAAGCAGTAAAGTAGTAAGTGATGGCTTACTATTATTAATTTAATAGGCAATAGTGTAAATTCCCCTACCACAGCAAGAAGTCTGCAATTTACTTAATTATTAGGGAAATGCTCTAGGACTGGCTCCCCACAAACTTTTTTTTTTTAATAAATAAGGTTTGATTCTTCCATGAGTAGATGAATCCTGACACAAAACAGTACACAACTTTTTTTAAAGTTTTTCTGCAGAAAAATTTAGATTATAATCCCATAGCTATCAAATTTTTGTCTAAGTATAGGTACTGGAAGAAAAATGTAACTATAGCCAGTCCAAATATACATGAGAGAGGCTGCCCTAACTGCTTTTGCAGATACAGCTCGTCTCTCTCGCCTCACATACAGAACATTATTTAGGTCAGTGGAGGCCTAGGAAGAACTACGTATCAGTATTTTCCTTTTTTGTTGATCTGGATTCAAAGGGTGGAACTGGCCTTACTTTATTGTAGATGTCTATCTCAGATATAGGATGACTGCACTGTAGTTAACTTCGGCTTCTTTATTGATTCATAAAAGAGAAACAGGCCCATTAAAGGCATGAATCATCTTGTATGTCTACTTTAGAATGAAATGATAAAATAACTTGCTCCATAAAAATGACTATTCCTCTTCACTGACTATAAAAGAAATTTACAGTGACAATGCAGAAGTCTGCATCTGGTATAGGGGCAAGAAGAGGCAGGTTATTTTTTTCTCTGCTCAGGACATTTCTTCGTAACAACAGAAAGGATGTTTACTTTCACTTGAGCTATGATAAACCTGGTATAAATCACTCAAAGTACATGTACACAAAAAAGCATCAACAGATACCAACTGAAACCTAAAAAGAAAGATGGGAAAAATAGGTAGACATTGTACCCTGGATTTTAGACTTCTTATTCAACGACTTGTTAAAATCACCACATCTAATTTTCTGCACTGAATCTTCAATTATGCAGAAAGACTCTCAAAGAGAAGGGATAATGCCTGGTTGAGCCTCTGCATGCAGAGATGCAAGCAACTGCCAAGACCCCAGGACAATTTCTCAAATGAAAATCTTCCCAAGAGCTTGAAGGTTTCTGGGTGTCAATTTTCTGAGTCTCTTCATGCCATACCACAAATGCACGATCACTGGGTAAGGGACACTGCTCAGAAGCAATACTGTAGGGCAAACCCAAGCCCTGAAATACCACTCACCTAGCAATTGATTCCTCACACAAAGAAATCTCAAGTGCAGACATCTCATGGTGTATGAAAGATCAATAAAAATTGAAGTTATGAAAACAAAGGCAGCCAGGAGAAACCAAAGCAATAACCTGTTCCACAGGCAGTAATCATTCTAGTACCACCAGCTACGGACGTCTCAGTCTTGGCTCTACAGTAACACCACTGAACATACTCTTGAGTTCATCACATCATATTAATTTTCATGTGATGAATGACAGAAGGTACAAGACAAATTACATAAAACTCGGTCTCTAACTCTTGTTATCTATCTAATATT